TGTTCTGCCTGCAATCCTAGCTTCCTAATTATTCACCTCTTTTCAGAAGCCAGTGTAGAGTTTTGCTGTAACAAGAAGTATACCGACAGTGGACTTCCTGGTTCACTGAGGATACAATACTTTATAATTAGAGGCAGTCAACATGCAGCGGTCTCATTTTGACCCCAAGAATCTGTGCTGAGGCTAAACTAATTTTATTTTTATAACTCAACAAAAATAGGGTGCAGCCATTTTAAGATAAAGAAAGAGGTATTATGATATTAAAAGTGCAGTATGTAACTTTTCTGGGTTTGCAACATGCTTGTCACCATGGAAACAACTTATGTATCTTATTAAACACAAATATTAGGTATGTGCTGATCCAATATCTGCACCAATACTGAAACATTTGCTGGATTGAATATCGGCTTCCAAATATCGATCCAGACTATATCCTGACTGGACATACTAAATCGATGTAATTAGATTATTTACAGGTCATAGCTGGCCCAGAGAGTCTTTTTTTTTTTTTTTTTTTTTTTTACTTATAAAGATAAATAACAGCTATATAACACATTTGGATCAGTGTGTCTTTTTATTTTTGTTTTAAGGAGATAAATACTGTTTTCAGTCTCTCCACTGGTATCGGTTTATATCAGACATCAGCAGATACTCAAAGGTGCATTGTGTAACTTTTCTGCAGGAGGGCCTGCTTTTCACCATATCCAGACATTGGTGCTTTGTCTGAGATGTTTCACAGTATGGTATTAAACCTTTCTATCATCATGGAGACCAAACCAAGTCAAATTACTGGCCAGATCTGTGGAGAGGCGCCCCCAATCACAGTCAGAATGCAGATTTTTCTAGGTATTTTTTTAACATTAACACCACACTTACTGTATTTTGCGCACTATAGGGCGCTCTGGATTATAAGGCGCACTGTCTTTTTTCACATATAAACCGCACCTGACTATAAGGCGCATTAAACAAAACACAACAGTTCGATAAGTTAGTCAAAATTTATTTAATGCATTCACAACTCATAATTGTTCAAACAGTTGGGCAATTACAGCATCCAGCACGCCCGCATCCCTCTCCTCATTATCCGAGTCAGTGTCATTACTGTTACCTGGCAGTTCAGTGATGATTCCGGTCTTGGTGAAAGCTCAGACCACAGTTGATACTGATCCTTAGGCCAGGCGTCCACGATCCATTGGCAGATTGTGGTGTAACTCTGTCTTGGTGAATGTGTATTCGCCTTCTCTCATCCACTGCTCCCACGCAGCTCGAAGTTTAACTTTAGAATAGCCTTGAGTTTAAAGTCCGTGTTGTAAGCGTGTCTCTTGACAGGTGGCATTTTGATATTGGTGCGGCTGCAAGTGGTGCGGCTTTGTAGTTTACTAAAGTCGTACTAAAACACCTGAATAAATTCATATATAAGGCGCTCTGGATTATAAGGCGCGCAGTCGTTTTTTGATTAAATTAAAGGCTTTTAAGTGTGCCCTGCAGTGCGGAAAATAGGGTAATTGAATACATGTAAGGTAGAGCTGTTTAATGTTATACTGTGGAACATATGAAGCAGAGCAATGACATATCCATAGAAACAAACAGGTGACAGCCCCCAACCGAAAAGTTACATAATGCATGTTTAAAGTTTTAGTATCAGAATCTGTACTTGGATCAGTGCATCATCAATCTTAGTTATTTTCTAAGACCCCGTGCAATTATTGAACTGCACAGTCACCTTGAAAATCCCAGGCCTTCCAAAATGATCCCCCACTTTTTTTTTTTCTTTTTGGATTCCCTCTAAAGTTATGTGGGTAATGATCCGTTTTCAAGGCTTTGGATGAAGATGGGTGAGATTCTAACTGCTCCCGATAGCAATTTGCCTAGAGTCTACCTTCTCTTCTCCTGACTCATTTTCTGCACTTTTTTTTGTTCCAGTTGAAAAGAGAAAGTCCTTGCATTACTTTAAGGACAGCTAGAGGTTCAGAAACTTACCATACGATCCGATATGGTGACCGAATCAATGAATTCTTTGTAGCGCGACGTCAAAGCTCATGGAAAATTACCCTAGCGGTTTCTCTCCCAAAGTCACCTCTGAATTGAATCTTCTGCAGCTGAGTCAGATATGGAGATGCTGAGGAGGCAAGGCTGTTTTGTCTCTATGGGATCTAGACTTGTATTTAGTTATATGCAGGCAGATTTGAATGTCTTGTCACCAAAGTATTTTAAGTATGTAACTGTAAATGTAAATGTGACCTCTAATATAATCTTCAACAGTTTAACGGGCCCATAGTAAGCTTTTTCTTATCTATGTTTTAATGTTGTTTCCTCATCAAAAACCTGCATATTTAGGCTGAGTTCTTCTGTCAGACTGAAAACACTCTGTTCTAACTTGTGATGTTATGTGGTAATACAGGAAGTGCTCCACTGTGTTTTTAAAGTCCATATGCCTTCATGTGTCATTTGGGTCGTTTCAGTCCTGGAATCGCAAATCTCTACTGATTTCAGGCCCTGCTCCTGAATCTCAGTCAATCATATTAAAGGGACAGTTCAGAATTTTGGACATAGGGCCTCGTTTCCTAGTGAGCCAGAGTGTTAGAGACGTGTGGAGACACTTTTTAAAATATTCCATCCAGTCCTTGTATTTGCAGAGGTCACTGGTGCTAGGCTAGTGCATGTCAATGGCCATAGTTAGCCAGACACTAAAAACACTTACCCACTTCACAAAACACCCGAAGCAAATCTATTATTACGCCAGACTGTCAATGTAAATGTCTGTGTTGATAGAATAATGTCTGAAATAAAACTAACCTTCGCATCACATGAATCATTGCATATTGAGGGACTATTTTCTCATATATCAGTCTTTCGCTGCCGAGCTTTCTATTAGGAGGTACAACTCACTGCTGCTGCTCAGACATAAATCCTTCACATGCAAGGTTGGTTTTACTTCTGAAATTATTCTATTAAGATTTGCTTCAGATGCTTTGTGGAGTGGGTAAGACAGTTTTTAGTATCAGGCTAACTATGGCCATTGACATGAACTATCCTAGCACCAAAAACCTCTGCAAATACAAGGACTGGATGGAATATTTTAAAAAGTGTCTCCACACATCTCCAACACTCTGGATCTCATTTCCTAGTGAGCCAATGTCCAAAATTCTGAACTGCCCCTTTAACTCTACTTTAAGAAAGGTGTCATTTAACCTAATAAAATAGTTGCCTAAGTCATATTTGTTTTTTGGAAACCAAGAAAAAACACATTTTTAGCAAGCACATTGTAAAGTTAGGCAGATGCGTGTTGTATTGCTATAACATATAACTATTGTGCAATTTAGATGAGTTTTGGTCCTTGATTACATACATTATGGCTGTATGAAAAATACATCTGTATATGTAATATCTGTTGCCCATGTCCAAACAGGAAGTAGAAGTTAGTAGTTATAAAGAAATGTTTCAAAATTGAGAACATTTTCAAGTTCTTATGTTAAATAACTTAACTCTTTTACCAAAATGAATTATCTAACATCTCACATGCACATTAATAGAGTTATAATTAATATAGTTATAGTTATGTGCTTGATATATATTTGAATTTGGTTCATATTTGGCCATTTTGTCTTGTTACTGTTAATTCTAAGTGTAATTTTGATTCTTAGCCCAGTTCCCACAAATACAGCTTTGGTTTATAATCTTGTGTGATCTTATTTAATACAAAATAGCCTTTTGTCTTTAACGGCTTAAAGATTAGCAGAGTGGAAATGTATTTTTTATTTTTTTTAAGTTATGCAAATCTTTCATAAGCGTATTTTCCTAAATGGTTAATGGGCCCTTAAAACCAAGCAGATTAACAGACTGCAGTCATACATTTTTATCTCCTACTATCTACTATCTACTACTTCTATTACTATTACAATTACTATTACGACTACTACTAACACTACTGCTACTACTATTACAACTACTACTACTACTACTGCTACTACTACTACTACTTTTGTAATTTGACTGTTTTACTGTGTGATTTTACTGATGTTTTTTGTGTACTGTATGTGGCCTCCACACTTAACATGCCTTAACCTGCTTCTAGAGGACTCTTTCTCAGAATATGAATAGGCCATACCTCAGGTGAAAGCTCAGAACTCCAAAATTCACTCAGAAGCTGCACTAGCACTAATGACTAATGACTAGCTAGAGGTGCTGGGGTTTAGGTAGTGATCAGAGAGATGCACTTTATGTTTGAACCATAGGATTTTAGCAGTGGAACGGGCAACTGAGACAAGAGATTCATTCTTATTCTGCTTTCTAACTGGATAATAATCTTGAGAGTCTAAACACCAAACAACAGGGCCATAATGTTTTTATAATTAAGAATAAATCAGCGTAGTAAAATTTACATTTGATTAAACATGTCTAGCTTGTATCTGGAGACAGTTAGATCATGTTTATGATAATTTGAATCAAAATCTTGCATAAAGTCCCATAAAGGTGCACTGTGTGACTTTTCTGGAGTCCGCACTCTGTTTGTCTCCTTGGAGATATTAATGTTTTGGTTAAAATTGTCCACAGTATGGCATGAAACTAATCTGTCTTACATTTATTCAACTACTGGTGATCAAAACTTAAATTCTTACTGTAACCTCTAACCTCAGGTTTGTCTTGCAAGTCTCCATGGAGATTCATAACTTTATGGGCATACTGTGAAACATTCTAAGCACATCTCCATGGCGACAAGTAGGTGATGGACCCACCAGCAGACAAGTTACACAGTGCACCTTTAAGATTTTTCCCTGTCCCCTACCTAATTCCTTCTGGAGGTATCGTGGGTATTTCACCTTATTCATTTATCTACTTAGTCCTTGTTACATTACATATTAAATTAAATGACCCGCCCATAACTAAACCTGCCCCGTGTCAGACCCATACATCACCCTGCATCTCGTAAATAGAATCAGACACTGTTGCCGTGGCTGCCAGGCAAATTGTCACTCTGTGTTTTTCCCCATTCTTCACAGGTCATTTAGCGCCCGGACATGATTGTAGCCTGAACCTCCTCCTCCGCCATTCCTCTCCATGACACTCTGAGGGGACATCTGTCATCCCTGTTTGTCGCCGTAGCAACCCGCGGACATGGGAGGAGCCGTGAGCGCCGGGGAGGACAACGATGACCTCATAGACAACCTGAAAGAGGCCCAGTATATCCGCACGGAGAAGGTGGAGCAGGCCTTCCGAGCCATAGACCGCGGGGACTACTACCTGGACGGGTACCGGGACAGTGCCTATAAAGATTTGGCATGGAAGCATGGGAACATCCACCTGTCTGCGCCCTGTATATACTCGGAGGTGATGGAGGCGCTCAAACTGCAGCCCGGACTCTCCTTCCTCAATCTGGGCAGTGGCACGGGATACCTGAGCACAATGGTTGGCCTTATCATTGGTATGTAATTAACAAGAGTGGGTACTATGTTGTTTTACTAATTTTTCAAGTCAATACTTAACAATACACACAGTTGCGAACACAGTAGGAAACAACAATAATATGGTTAAAAGGTCTAAAAAGTTGGTTTTGCATAATAGATCTGTTATAACAATACTGAATTTACCTGCCCCAATCTGTATTAAATATATCTGGCCAATAAAAAGCTGTAGTTGACTAAAGCAATTCTTAGCTGGTCAAAAAATTCCCTGTCCATTGATCAAAACAAAACAAAAAGGGATTGTGAAGCTGTCAAAAACTCCCAAAAAGTTCTGGATCTTGCTCAAAAACAACTATGTACACTGAGAAGTACAAGTAAACAGAATCTTCATGCGTGAAAGGGCAGATTTAACTGTTCAGTGTCCCCCAAGTCCCTCCAGCTAACTCACTCCATGCCTTTTCTTTTCTGCTGTGGTCCATATAAATCAGTTGTAATTAGTTAACTAATAAAACACCATTGATTGCTTGATCAATCAAACCGCTTAAGGTCAAGATGCAATAGATTTAGATGAAAAAGGTATTCAATAAATTTGTGTTGTAGAATAAATTGTAGGAGCCCCGAGAGTTGAAAGAAGAGGCATGACGCTGGAGTCCTAATGCAGGAGAAGTTTATTTACCATCAGGACAGGACCCAGCACCAGGAGACATGACCATAAACAGTGTGATAGTGTTCTCCATTCCAATCTAGTACTGTCTAACCTGCTTCCATAGTAGGGAATCTTATACCTCTGATGATGTAGGCCAATATAACAAAAAGTGAGTGCCCTAGATACAGCACCAAAATTGAAATGGAAAATATGTTTTGGAGAAAAAAAACAAACAAACCCAAAGCCATGCTATCTCAGAGTGGAAGATGTCTATCTGATATCTTTACAAAGAATAAGTTATGAGTGCACAAAAAAAGTTCAGTACTTTGTTGTACCTGGAGTGTTGGGGAGAATATACAAGATATTATCAAAGTAGTTATTTTGAACATGTGCAGAACAAAGACAATAGACTGCAAAAAGCTGATAAAAATAAGTCTTTCAAAATGGGTCTTATTTTGTGGTTAATTTTACATTCAATTCACATTTGTGGTCTTGTCTTTATAGAAATAGAATAGTTTAAAGCCATACTGTGAAACATTCCAGGCATCATCTTGTGATGTGATGAAGCAGTAGTTTTCAAGTTAACAGCTACATTTGACTTTTTCAGGGCTGAAATTATCCAAATGATTCTAGTGATAGTGAAGTGTATGGAGTTTAAAAACACAGTGGAGCACTTCCTGTATTACCACATGACATCACAAGGTGGAACAAAGTATTTTCGGTTTCAGGCAAAAACTCAACCTAAATACGCAGGGTTTGTGTGTTAAAGTGTGTGAATAAAACAAAACACAACTCTGAGTATGATTTTGAGGAGGAAACATTATAACATAGAAGAAAATAGAGTAATATTTAAGTGTTTAAGTCTGTGGCCTTGTTAGTGAAGACATGTCAGGTCAGAGCAGAGAGGCTGTTTCTGGCAGATTTCACATGTCCATCAGAATGAGTGGTGGGTCAGACTCAGGGAGGAGGACCACAAGCTTAATCCTCTGCAATGGAGGGCTCAGAGAGATAAGACCCCGTCTGTGTAACTAAGAGGACTCAAAGACAACATTTTATTAGCTCTTATCTGCACTTGGGTATGCCTTTCTTCATATGAAATATCTATGTTTGACATGTTTGAAAAAGCGAAATATGTCTCCCATGTAGGGCTATGGGATACATGATTTTTGTCCTCATACTGATTAACCTGATTTTGGATAAAATTTTAATTAGTCTTTTCAAAAACACAATTAAAGCATTACATAACTTTGACTCTTGTAAGCTTTTAACCATGATATAATGTTGTTACCTCCTCAAAACATAACATACCTCAAATATGTGTTTTGTTTCAGTCACACATGTATGAATAACCCTGCATTACTTGGCTGTCTACGTCTCCAAAGTGCAAAATGTTCTGTTCCATCTTGTGATGTCATTTAGTGATAGTTTTAAAATTAACAGCCACCTTTTACCTTTAGTTCAGTAGAGTTTGGCAAACCCAGAGCTGAAATGATCCAAATGATTCTAGTGAAGGTATATGGAGCCTTTAAAACACAGTGGAGCACTTTCTATTTGAGAGAAGAACTTAGCCTAAATATGCAGGGTTTGTGTGTTAAACATCCTTGAATGAAACAAAAGACGACTCTCAAGGTATGTTTTTGATGAAGAAACGACATTATAACATAGATCAGAAAATAGCGCAATATGGGCCCTTTAAAAATGGCTTTTCCTGTTGATTTCCTGAACAAAAACAATAGACTTTTAATCAATGTAACCCCAAAAATAAATGCATTTCTTCCATCAAACTCCGTTCCAAACCGCATGCTTTTATTGATGGAGGATTGGCTGTAGATCTCTCGATTCATGTCACTGAAGATTAGACATGACTGCTTCACAATCTCTCTCTATTTTGATTAATCACGCAGCCCTCATCCCACTAGTTCATGTACGTTTAAATCTTCCTGGAAGCTTCTGTTGTCGTGACGCTGTAATCATGTTTTATTAAGTCTCCGGCAGGTAGGGGGTGCACTTCCACATCTGTTGTTGTTGAGTTGAGTCATGCCTAAAGCTCACACACACAGGACCTAATGTTTGTTTTCTGACTGTGTTACAGAACTTATTTTTTAATTTTAATTTTGAAGTTATTGCAGAAAAAGAAGATATATTTTTCCTTCCACATCAAATTCTTTATCAGATTTAAAATAACCCTGCTTTGGTTATCAGGAGAGGTAGTCTAAACCTAAACTTGAATCATATCTGATGCTAGAAGCCAGTACAGCAAAGGTTGAACTCATTTATTGTTGTCAACATAAAGCTTTGGTCACTTTTAGATTTCCTGACAAAGGGAAGAGTAACACAATCTGAAACATGTATTGCTACGTCGATTGAACAAAGATTAACTATCTTTTCACTTCCAGGGCCTTTTGGAGTGAATCACGGGGTGGAGCTGCACAAGGACGTGGTGGAGTACGCCAGAGATAAACTGGAGGACTTCATCAAGAACAGTGACAGCTTTGACAAGTGAGTACCGTACGATATGGTAGCATCTTAGCATTCAGATTACAAGAACGACAACAATACTGATACTTTGCAGCTGATGGCATCAACATTCCCTCGGGATGTTATGCTAACTGCAGGCACTGCTCTATCTGAGGCTTTATTAGACTTTAATGTGAACTTTGTTTTAACATATTTGGATGAGAAACTACGTCAGGTGAAATGATGTTGTGCTGTTAAACAAATCCCTCTCATATTATCATACAGTTTATAGCATTATTGAATAGAGCTGGGTATCATTCAGAAGTTGCCGATACGATACATACCTCGATACATAAGCCACGATACGATACATACCTCGATACAGTGAGCTTACAATTCGATACGATTCAGTACAATACATTCTAAATCGATTCGATACAGTTCAATAAAAAATAAAGGCAAAATGAAGGCTGTGATACTAAAAGTCTTTGTTAAACCACTTCTTGTCCAAAGTTCATATGAAACACAAACATTTTAATCATCAAAACAGTGAAAATGTAAAATGTGCTGCATAAACAAGTTTCCTTTCTCTGAACAAACAACCAAACTGTAGCTGTAACAAAATAATTTAGTAAAATATACCAAAAAATACTTTTGGTGATATATCAATACAGCAGCCCACGATATCGATACTGTATCATCACATTTAACAATACAGTATATCGATATTTCAATATTTTTCACACCCCTATTAGCCAAAAGTTTTTCAGTTGGTCACACTCACCCTTCTTGTTGAAAAACACCTGAACAGGACCATGCAGGCTCGTATTGATAAAAGGCTCCTGAAAATGTGTTGTTTAAATCAATATTGTTTTTTTATGTGAGTTTTCAGACTATGTAAAAGCTTTTTGGCTATGTTTGTGAGTGTGTATATTGTGTCACCATGGAAAACGCTGAACATTCCACCATAGACATGCATACAGAACCTCCCAGGCTAAGGCTGTGCAATTAATTGAATTTTGATTGAGATTTTTATTTGCGTGTCAAACGATCTCCAAACTCATGTAATAGAGTTGAAATGATTAAAGCGATTTTTTTTAAAATATAAATAAGTATATTTATTTTATTTTTAGATATAGAGATTGTAGAACAGCTGGATATTGTTTATTTTTGATGCATTCATGTTTTTCTATTTCACTTTCAAAATATATTTTATTCATTTTACATTTTATACATCGCAAAACTGCTCTAAGGTACATATTTGTAGCCTATATTTATTTTCAGTTTGAAAGTTTTGCCTAAATTATCAATAACAAAGTTATTTTTTTAGAGAGAGAAATGCTGATTAAATGCATTGTGTAATAAAAAAAATAGTTTGAATAATTGTGATAATGATTTTTTTTCATAATTGAGCAGCCCTATCCCCAGCTCAATGTCACAGCAAAATATCAATAGACAGTAGTATGCTTAGGCACCATGCTTAAAATAATACAACTTGGTTACTTATTCACACCCGCTGTCTTTTCTTGTGCAGGTTTGAGTTTTGCGAGCCTGTCTTTGTGGTGGGGAATTGCCTTGAAATCGCTACAGACAGTCACCAGTACGATCGAATTTACTGTGGGGCCGGAGTGCAAAAAGACCATGAAAATTACATGAAAGTGCTGCTCAAAATTGGAGGAATTCTGGTGATGCCTATAGACGACCAGGTAAGCACTACCAACCAGCCAACCGCGGAGAAGTCCTGAAACTCGCATTGCTATTCAAATTGTAACACATAAGAAATAAGGGGTAAAACAGTTTTGACTTACAAGCCTGGTTACACAAGTTCTGATCCATGCATTATTAAGCGACAGCAGCCCCAGGACTTGTAAGGAGGGGCTATAGAAATCAATGTTTTATTTAACATGGTGGATGGATAGCCAAGTGGGCATTCACACTATTTGAGGGAGTGAGTAGAGAGAGCCAAGAGCTAAGCAGGGCCAAAGATCCACACACAAACTCAGTGAGGTATTTTGAAAGAGAAACTGTAAAGGAGTAAGCTGTGGTTTTTGTGGTTTGAAGGTGCATCGTGCAAGCTTTCTTGAGAAGGGCTTGTTAAATACTTTTTCACGTTAAACATCCAGTAAAGCTGTTCCAGGCAGAGCAATGACACATCCATAGAAACAAGCGAGTGACGGACCCCCAACCAAAAAGCTACAAAGTTAGTACACATTTGAACCATTGTATAGTGAATTCTAGCTTAACTGTCCTTTGCAATAGTTTGGGATTTTCAAAAGTGTTGTACAAAACATTATAACACTATCAAAATGAATTTAAGGCCAGTTTCTTTTCATTCTAGCTCCTTCACATTTACAAATTGTAGCTCCATTTTAAATTGTGTCTTAAAGGTGCACATTGTAACTTTTCTGGTAGGGAGTTGCCACCTGCTTGTCGCCATGGATATGTTATTCTTATGCCCTGGAAAGTTCCACAGTATGGCATTTCACTCATCTATCTTGCATTTGTTCAATCATAGGAGTTTTAGTTGCTCAAAAATGCATTGAAAAACATGCATTATGGGGAGTGGGCAAGAGGTTAAGACGGGTGTACACTGTATGATTTTTGGCCCTTTTTGAGCTGATTTTTCACTCGTGCGACTGTTTTTGGGATTGGGCAAAGTTTTGTCTTAATCGTGTGTCGTGCTTCGTGTAGTATACATGGGGTAACGAGAACAGATTAATACCTCATGACCGGCTCCCGATCGGCAATCGCAGGTCGCAAGGATGTCAAACCTGTTTGAAATCCAGGCCTCTCTCTTGAGGGTTTCACGCTGTTGAAGTATTTCGTATAGTGTGAGAACATGAATCGTGAGCTGTGAACTTTTAAACCCTGCGATTTGGTCGTACAGTTTGAGCTGGGGCTGAGTGAAATTATCGAAAATATCGCACAGTGTATGTCCGGCATTAATCTGGTGGTGCTTTTCTATATGTAAATAGATTTAATGCCATGCTGTCAAAACTTTGGCTTCTCTATGAGACAAACATCAGAAAAGTGACATTGTGCACCTTCAAGATCAAGAATGTGTCTCTTTTTTTCCTCTCTTTACAGACTTAAAATGTAGAATTAGACACCAACAATTAGGATTAATTGCAATAGTGAAATACTAGGCATCAAGTAGTAACTAAATGGCCAAATGGTACTAGTAAAAAATATAGATTTTTTTTTCTTTTAAATCAAAACGTACTTTTTCTGCATCTAAACTTGAAACATCAAAGACCTGTGCAAGGCAGTACTTTTCTTCTATGTGGAAAATTACATGCAAATCATAAAAAAATACACAAAAGGCCCAATTTGCACATATAAAACAGCAAGTAAGGCACTAACTATATACTATATACTAACTACAGTCTATATTTATAGACAAGGCTTTCAATTCAGCCACAAGTTTTCACAAGCTAGCTTTTATACTATTCCCGGGTTGCATCAGAAAGTACATTTTCTGCATATAACTGCGATGATTAGCCGTAGCCACCTTGTGTGAAATAGTCCAAAATGGTAGAAAAAGCAATTCAGGGCTACATATTTCACACAAAGGACCAAAAGATTATTGTAATAGAACCAGTGTCTTGCGAGACGTGATTTCTCATACACCCATAATGATCCATTTCTGATCTATAATTCAAGCCTCCCTCTCGTCATATGTCATTCTAATTCAATCACACAGACATTTATGAATGCTCTCGCTGTTCAATGACCTCGCACATAAAGAAGCCACTCGGACTAGCTTTAGTTGTGGTTGGCAGGTCCCCTTTATAACAATGACTCATGAAAGACATTACGCTGGAGCAAAGGGAGCATGTCATGAATGAGGAGCTTATTACATTTGGGAGACACTGGAGGAGATTCGAATGAATTGACGAAGCTTTCACCTCCTCTTAAAAGAACTGTATGTATGTAGACTGTGCTCTTGTAGTTCTAAAAAATGTACTAGCATTAGAATGATTTGAGCTTAGGCCTGTCATGAGAACAGTTTTTGAAACACAATGTATTGCTACTGAAAAATATTACGATAATATTGAAAAGGCCACTGCCACAAAGCAATGCTAGTGAAGTTTAAATAGACAGTATCATTTAAAGCCTTGAACTGCAACCAGTAAATTGCATAGTGAACTGGAAACTATCCATAGCAGTTATTTATTCTACCCTTCACAGCTCAAATCTTATATTATTACATAAAAATGATATTACTGCCAGAAACTATTGCAAAGAAATAGTGCACATGATAAGTATTTAGCACCAAAATATATTGTTCCAGCTTTCAGATACTGGATGGTTAGTCAGTATAGTAATTATAATGACTGGAATAGCTGAGTGGCCAGTCTCCTGACCAGCCTGTCCCTTCTACATTCTATTAGAATCTAAAAGGATCTGGAAACGGACCAAAGAGTGTGAAAAACCTCTGTCCTAACTTGGGATGGTCCACTTTTTGTCTTCTAAATAAAGCTAATTATCTTATTTATCTGACATGATCCAGTGGTAGCACTTCCCTCTTCACCAAAATGTGTCAGGTAAATAAGATTTTTACTTTTTACAATTTGTCTTATTAGAATAAAACACAAGGTTTGGTCCAAGCATCATTCTATACTTTGTATTCTCTCTTTTTGACAGTATATAAATAATTATTATCATGATTAATTTTTTTTTCCCCATAGTTGAGCAGCCCTAGCCTGATTCATCTGCCCGTTTTACTTCATTTCAGTTTGTACAAACCGTCTGACCTCACAGCGTTAGATTTTGTTCGCTCGACTTTAGGCAGGTACTTTTTATCATTTAACCAATCGCTTTGGTCGTGACCTATGTCATGCGTTAACGGGGCTAACTGGTATATTAAGCTTTTCCCAAATCCCGTAGGAAGAAGGGCAATAACGCCTTTCCTCTTGATGAAATTCATCAAACATTCTCTTTGTTCTGGCTTTAAATCCTCAATCTTGGGAATAGTTGACAACACTGAATATTTGGCTCTTCGCTGATTGGCTGGTGCCCGAACTTGCACTTCCAGGGGTTTCACAAACCGTTTATTGTATTTTGATTCCTGACCTAGTTGCTGGAGAGAAATGAAATTGAGCAAGAGCAGCCCTATCTTATTGCTTTGCTTGGAGTGTTTTTTCCATAGTATGTCATTAAATGTATCTATCTCCATGGAGAAGTAAACCAGTATTTTTTTTAGCTCTTGTAACTGAAGAAATGCAAGATATATACATTTAATGCCATATAGTGGACCATTTCAGGCAGGTTTTCTCCTTGGAAAAGTTACATACAATATCACCTTCTAAAGCATCCAGGAATACCTTAATCTGACCATTTCCCCTCCTCCTTCAAGTGTATTTTATTAAGCATCTTGACTGTCTTGTAGTTTAATTATGTTTTGATAATCCTCTCTGCAAACTGCTACTTGTTATGAAACCACTGACAAGAACCAAACGACTATATTTTGTCCTTTTAAAAATGCTGCTGTTGCCAGTCGTTAACTCCAAGGACATGATCATAGCTATTGTGTTCGAAATGGTCATAGACATCAACAGTAATCTAATGAAGTTGTAATTGGATCATATCAAAATCTGAAGTGACATTGTGAGTGTTTTAGTGAGTCCCAAAATGCCATTGTGTACTTGCACGCGTGTACTTTTCTCCTGTTTCAGTTTTATTACTATTATTATAATTATTTTACTGCAGATTTATAGGGCCTTTCCTGTCATGATTGTAATTCAACTCCTATGAGAAAAATGAACCATTGATAAGTGTTTTTTTAACAACTGCACACCAATAATCAATCTAATACTTAAATTTAAAGGTGCACGTTGTAGTTTTTCCCGTGAAGGTGGTTTAATTGCTCAAAAATGGATAGAAAAATGCATTTTAACCGTTTTGGGGTCACTTCTCTGATAATTTACAACTCTCCACCAGAAGAGTTACATAGTGTACCTTTTAATATACAGTTAATATTTTAGCTTTCCACCGTGTTATTACATTATTCCTTCACCAATAACTTGCCTGAAGAGGTTTTAGACATCGCCCATGCATGTTTCAGTAATTTAGTGATCTCTCCGGGGCCCAATTTAAAACCTCTTTACGGTTATCTTTAAGATTCTGTCCGTATGCTCAGCCCACGAGCCTATTCATCATCCATGCTCCCACTTGACAATTCTCCATAAATATACAAAGACATGATAGAAAACTGAAAACTGATGCGAGTGTGCTGTGATAGTGCTCTGAAGGGGGAGTGACTTAACACGGGGAGCAAAAGCAAAAGCGAAAAACAAAAGCTAAATTTATAAGGCTTGTTAATATCTTGTTTTCAGTGAATAAAGCATTTTCTAAACAGTAAAAGGTAACATGGTGATCTAAATTTATTACGTGTTAACAGTTAATAACCTAAAGATTTAAGATTTAACATTTAACCATTGTAGAGATCTTGAGATCAGCTTTTTCAGTGCTTTTAGACTACCTTATGCAACAAAAAAATTTGCAAAAATAAAGACAAGGTGTTCTAAGAAACTGGAGGCAGTCTAAAGTACCCCAACCCACACACGGTTTATTTTTAGTCCAAACTTACCTGAATAAAACATGTGTCTAAAATCACAGTCACTTTAGTGTTTGCCACAGCATTATTCTCTGTACTCATTTGGCCTGTATACATTCTGAATAGCTTGATTTGCATTGGAAAAAACATGTCGATGCTTCATACAGCTGGGGCTTTTTCTAAATAGTCCACACACACGATATTGACATTTTAAGTTCACTGCTTTTCCTGACCACTTACATTACAAAACTGTGTATAAAATGTTTGGATTCTATGGAACAAGCAATTAACTCATCATGATTAAAAGTGCTCTGTGTAACTTTTCCGAAAGGGTTTTAACACCTGCTTGTTTCCATGGAGATGTTGCTTTGTCTGCTATGTAATGTTTCACAGTATAACTTTAAACATATGTATCTTGCGTTTATTTATTAAAGGGGCAGTTCGGAGTTTTGGACATAGGGCCTCATTTCCTATTTAGCCAGAGTGTTGGAGACGTGTGGAGACACTTTTTAAAATATTCCAGCCAGTCCTTGTATTTGCAGAGGTCACTGGTGCTAGGCTAGTGCATGTCAATGGCCATAGTTATCCTGACACTAAAAACAGTCTTACCCACTCCACAAAACACCCGAAGCAAATCTATTATTACACGAGACTGTCGATGTAAATGTCTGTAGAATAATGTTTGAAATAAAACTAACTAATTGTCCCCTGTTGAGGGACTATTTAATCATATATCAGAAACATCCCCCGCTGCCAAGTTTTCTATCAGGAAGGACAACTCGCTGCTGCTGCTCAGACATAAATCCTTCAAATGCAAGGTTGGTTTTACTTTTTAAATTATTCTATTGACACAGACATACACATCAACAGTCTGGTGTAATAATATATTCGCCTTGGGTGTACTGTGGAGTGGGTAAAACTGTTTTTAGTGGCAGGCTAACTATGGCCATTGACATGCACTAGCCTAGCACCAGTGACCTCTGCAAATACAAGGACTGGATGGAATATTTTAAAAAGTGTCTCCACACGTCTCCAACACTCTGGCTCACTAGGAAAAGAGGCCCTATGTCCAAAATTCTGAACTGTCCCTTTAATTACAGGTGGTTTTATTGCTCAAAACACCCTGAAAAACATGGTTTCTAACCTCCCCACATATCTGATCTTTAGATAGATAGATGGATAGATAGATATTAAATAAATATTTCATTTATTAAAAGGAAATTCATTTTTCAGCAGCAACAAAGAAACATAACTTGGCCTGGTAGCGTCACATCCTTATTTCCTTTGAGCTAGATAAGTTTAATGCTTTACTGTGGGACATTCCAGGCAAACAGTAACATTTGGTTAGCCCTGTAAAAAGTTGTGTAGTGCATCTTTTAAATAAGTTCAATTACACTACATCCAAACCATAAATTGTAGCATAAATCACAAGATGTAAAATGTGACGTAGCCAGGACTGGATGCAAAATGAACAGGAACAAAACCAAAACAATGTTTCAAATCCAATATTTAGATGAACAGTGAAGCTCTCCTCTCTCTCCCCCTGCAGTGGTTTATGTAAATGGTTTTGTGCATTCATTCTTTGTGAAAAAGCAGCACAGATCCTCTCACCACGTCTGTCTGTATACTTTAAACAGCTGTCTGCCATAATGAACATCTGGAGAATGAATGGAGATCATTAGGTCTCCGTGAATGCAAACTCAAATGCAAATAAGTGCTTTTCTGCATAGCAATTAGTACGGTGTTTTAGGCATATTTCTCAACAGTTTTATGCAACGTTATAATGTATAATATAAGGGATGTTGGAATGAGCTAATTATAGCATTTAAAAGTGCTATATTATGCTAAATTGACTCTGAGTTTTAAGCCATGTTATAATGTTGATACCTCATCAGAAACATACCTGGAGTTGTGTTCTGTTTCATTCACAAATCTTTAAGTAATCCTTTATTATTAGTCTGTCTACATCTCCAAAACTCAAAGTAGTTTTCAAGTTAACACCTACTGGCAGCTTTTAATGTGGAAACCAAGTATTAACCAAAAATAACCTGCTTTCACTTTTGTGTATCACTTAAGCACAAATTGAAAGTTTGATTTAACGGAGCACTATGTAGCCTTTCTGGTAGAGAGTCCACCACGTTCTTGTCTCCATGGAAATGTAGTTGCTTTGTTTCTAATGTCCCATATTGTGGCAGTATGGTAAGTAGCTGGCATCACCGGAACAAATTACAGGTCAGATCTCTGGAGAGTAAGAATACTGTGAGCAATACAAACACATTTAATGCCATACTGTGAAATATTCCAGTCGAAGCACCTTAATAAAGCTTACCACATAATAAAGTGTAGGTATTGTAATTGGCATTCCGAATTAAAATGAATAACACAGGCCTCTTTAATGACTGATATCATAACCCTAAAATGTAACTTTGGTATACTTCTACTGTACCATATGTTTTAATGTTATTTTGTGATTGTGTGACAGTTGACCCAGATTACGCGGACGGGCCAGAGCAGTTGGGAGAGTAAAAACATCCTGGCTGTGTCCTTCGCTCCCCTCGTCCAACAGAACAGAGGAGACGGAGAGAAGGCTGACACTGTGCAACTCCGTAAGTCTTTAGTCTTTAGTGGCTGTGAGGGGATAATAAAACAATTTGGGAATGTCCAGAAATGATATTTATAGAAATTAAAGATATATTTTTGGTATAACTAGAACAGAACCTGGAACTAAACTATACTAGGACTAAACCAGGAGTAGAAGTGGGCCAAACCAAGTGTACACCAGAATTATAATGTAAAGTGGTAGGGCACTGCTGACTCTGAATAAGTGATTCTCCTGACTCTCAGCAAGAAAGTTTGGATCTGTCTGAAATTTTCATGTTTAGGTTTCTCAAAACACAAAAAATATGTATATAAAAAGTGCCCAATTACACCAAGGGCATAAAACAGTTTTGTTTTTTTTGTTTTTTATGTAAAACTACTCATTGTGACTTGTAAACAACTGGCAAAGAAATATTTCATAGTGCAAGTCTTGCTTAGTTTTAAAATGCCAAGTAACAACTGGTAATACACTTTTGGCATTTAGGACATTGTAAGTTGTATAATGCCATCAAATAAACAAGTCTGTAGAATCTTTAACTATTAACATTTAAATGCTAAAACTAAAACTGTCTAAGTAGCTTCACAGCAAGAAAGTTTCAGGTTCAATCCCTGGGTTGCTGGGGCCTTTCTTTGTGGAGTTTGCATGTTCTCTCTGTGTCTGGGTGGGGTTCCTCTGGGTGCTCTGGTTTCCCTCATCAACCCAAAACATTCTTCACAGGTAAACTCCTCCAGCTAAGGTAGTTCTGACCAAGATTATCAAGGTCATGGAGATGGGTCTCCAGGTGCACTGCTGCCCACTACTCTTGAAGAATTTTAGAGCACCAGCATTCTAAGACAAGCTCTGTATTTTTTTTGTATGTGGTTTTGCACTTATAACACTATCATACAACAGATAAACAGCTCTGTGCTATCTGAAAAATAAAAATAAAAGATAAGCTAAACCTGTCCCACAATGGGGAAATTACAGTGCTGCAATGCAAAGTTCAAGGAAAATACAAATATGCAATCAAAACCAAGATAAATTGTATTAAAGATTTACAACAGAGCACAAAAATGGCTCAAACCTATTTTGAAATACCAAAACAAAGTGATTTTAAGGTGCCCGAAGAGTGTGTATATTTCCTTTGGCAGAGAGCATTCAGAGAAGTGACAGCTCCTCCAGTGTTCATGTGATGCAGAGATCGGCCCCCAGCTGCTTCCACTGCCCTCTCTGTAATTTCCCCTTCCTTCAAGCGCCCGGGCTTTGAATTCTCTCTCCTCCACTGTTGACCTAGTTTACGCAATCACTCGGCTTATATTCTTTGTTATTATGGCGTCGCTTCTGCCCTTAACCCTTTGCAACTGAAACTTATATTACACAGCACAAAAACGCACAGAGTAAAGGTGTCCTTCTAGTTTTGTTTCTAGGTTGGTAATTAGGTTCCTGTGAATGATTTTATAGCGTTGGTTTCCCATGGGACAGGTTTGAGCGGGAGCTGCAGTCTGTTGGAAAAAGTAAAAGTGTAACTTATACAACTGGTGTAAATTTCTAATTACGCAACGCCAAGCCATAAAGGGCATAATGACAATATAATGTGTTCCAGTGGGCTTCAAATACAGACTGTGTGTTTATGTGAAAAAATGATTTCCCATCATTTTGAGATACTTTAATGTTGTTTCAGTCCTTCTGGCCTTTCTAAAAAAAAAACAAATTTCAGTCGTTTTTTGTTTGTGCGTTTACTAGTATACGCCCCTTTGCCCATGAGCTTGCATTTGTATTCTTGTTTTTAATATACTGTTTTTATTGGAGTTTTAGTTCCTTTGGCCTGCACTATGCACTGTCACTTTTCAGTTGTAGATGCATGTAAATGAATGAGCTGACTCCGATAAGGTCAAGGTCAAGATCAACATTCTTTATATAGCACATTTACAAGAACCTATGGCCCCCACAGTGCTTTACAGTACAGAACAATAGCTAGAATCAATAACAAACATTCATACACAACAAAAAATATTGGAATATCAGAGTTGATATTGAAAAAATTGTTTTGATGTAATAAGATTTTCAGAGATAAATAACACATCTCTTCTCTTATTTTATTTCTGTTTTAAGTAAATAAATACTGTATTCAGTCTCTGGTGCACTGGTGACCGTTGAAATCAGGTATTGGCAGAAGCTATAGTGTGATTCAGGCCCCGTTTACATGCACGAGTATTTTTAAAAACTGAGACATTTCCCTTCGTTTGTACCCATCTTTTACATGCAAACCGCAAATTCACCTCTGAAAATGAATCTTTCTAAAAACTCCGGCTAGACTGCAGATTCTGGAAAACTATGGTTTTGCATTTGTGTGTAAAGTGAGATAAATTTGAGTTTTAGGAGCTGACGCGCCAAAAGTGTGACCAATGTTTCTCTTTTGCTACGTGATCATGAAGCATTCAGAGCAGCAGTCGCATTTCGTCTGGTGAAACACTTTTCATGTGTTTGCATTTGCACACACAGCTGATGTATCTTGATGCTCGGAGGTTAGCAATTTTGCCCCGCTCAGTAATGCACGTTTTTCAAGGTGTTTTTGAGTAATACTTACAACTGTAATGAAATAAATGCTACAGGTTTGAATCTAATTCAAGTGCGGCCCATTGGCTTGGCGTAGTTATAATGGCGCTCGATGGCGTATTTATGTGGGTTGATGTAAACTAAAACTTTTTTTGAAAACGATGCTATGTGCACGACGTTATTGTGGAAAACGGAGGGAGGGAAATATTCGTTTCTCAACATGCTCGGCTATGTGTAAACGTAGTCTAAGATTCACTGTATTTATCTTTATTAGTAATAGTAGTATCAGAATCAGTATTGAAACTGAAAAAGCTGGATCCCTAATAATAATAAAAAAATAGAAATACAATAAAACAACAGAAATACAATAAAGCCCGCACAGCCTGATGGTACAAATAACTTTGAATCTAATATCCTTCTCCCTCTCCAGCCCCCGTGACGGTGCGCAGCCTGCAGGACCTCTCGCGCATCTACATCCGCCGAACCCTGCGCAGCCTGGCCCCCGAGGACGACTCCCAGGGCAAGAGCGCTCCAAGGGTCCCCCAGAAACGCAAACGCAGACGCTGCCGAAGGAGGCGCATCAGCACCTACGTCTTTGTGGGCAACCAGCTGATTCCGCAGATGGTGGAGAGCGAGGAAGAGGAGCAGAATCATAACGAGGAAGAACACAACAAAGAGCTGGAGGAGGAGGAAGAGGAGAGGGACATTGGCGACATCGAAATCATCAGACAAGTCAACGTTTTGAGAGACCAAATCATGGCGTTGCCCTTGCCTGAGTCGCTCAAAGCCTACCTGTTGTACTTTAGGGAGAAATGACTTTGACTGTGTTGTTTAATGTTGGGTGCAGCGCCTACTGAATTGCTTTTGTTTCCTCTTTTTTTCTCAGTACAAATGTAGCATTATTTCCATCAGAATCTTGATTGCAAAACTGTAAAATGAAAAAGCATCATAGATAATATTGGATAATAATGTTATGATTGCAATGTTTTTTCTTTGTATGTGGAAAAAAAATATGGTAACACTTTAGTTTAGGGATCACATAATATTAGCTAACTGAGAGTAATTGGTATAGTTGGTTAGTGTTTTTTCAGCTATTAGTATTTATAAACTTTTTATTAATACTTATTAATCAAATTTTTACTGCATGTACTAAAGCACGTATACTAATAATGCTAACGAATGAATAATTAAGAAGCAAAAATAATTAACAGCTAAATTCTTAAATGCAAAAAAATATCATTAATACTCAGGTGTTAGTTCACACCTTAGGGTAGTTCAATGGCCTTAACTATTAACAGAGGCTCCTTACTATCAAAACTAGGGTGTGCAAGTTTATAAATATACTTTATAAATAGCACTTTTTAAAGGTACACTGCATAACATTTCTAGTGGAGGGTCTACTATCTGTTTGCCTCCATTTTTGTCTCCATGGAAATATTATTGCTTTGTCTAGAATGTTCCACAGTATAGATTAAATCCATCTGTCACCAGGGAGACAAACAGGTTACAGCACTAAGCTACATTACAGTTCAGATCTGTGGACAGTCGCTCCTTTTCACAGACGGAATTATTGCATTTTTGAGCAATAGAAACATCTGTAATGAATAAATGCTAGATCGGATCCGTTTAATGTCACAGGACTGGAAAAGTTGCGCAGTGCACCTTTAAATACTAACAAATTGTATCTAAGCACTTCTTATATCTTTTACTATTAGTTAACAGCTAATATGTGGTCCATAAATTGAAGTGTAACCGAAATATATATAAATATAAATGTATGGAATTTTTGAATCCCACTTTATGATCCAGATTTTATGAAATGTGAAATCTGTGAATATCAAATTGTACATTTTGTTACTATATTTGCTGATGCTAAAAATAACGATGGCATCTTTTTGAAGCTTTAACTTGCTATCCGCGTCTGGATCCGATGACGCCGGGGGACAGAAAGCAAGGCAAATGAGGCCAGAGAATCCCATTTGGAGAGAGAGGACACGCTCGTACGGACCTGAACGGGGCACTCACACTATGTCATTGCTCTTCACGATGTTTAGCTTTAGGTCGATGCGTTTTTTCTACCTTCCTTCGTCACGCGGAGGCTAGCAAGCTGACCTCCGGGTGTCTTTTGTACCGCACCTTCCAATGGGACTTTTTCTACTGGGTGCTTACATCTGCTTTTGCATAATCTGACGCGGTAATGTCAGCATCCTGGATTGAGAAGACAGACCCTTTTTCTATTCCTGTAAAACATAGGACGACACAAGCAAAAAAGTTGGGATACTGAGAAAAATGTAAACAAAAACTGAATGCATGGGTTTACTAAAACTTCAGATATGTTTTTGCAGTTGTAAATAATACGATGAGGTGTTGAGAAATGAAGTAGGTTAGAAAGAGTCTCGGATAAGCTGTAACAAGTTAAATTATATTGTTTTAATTGTATACAAACTTTAATATTAAATTCTTCTCAGTGAATACCAAATGACACCAGTTTTCAATGTATAATGCTATATTTTTCAACTACATTTTGAGGACTTTTACCATTCAAAAAGCTAGGAATCGCTATGGCAACAGTCCTAATTTTACATCATGTTGAAACCTCAGAAAAAAGTTGCAACATGCTCCTATATTTTTAATAATAACGCTTAGGATTTATATTGCACTTTTGTTGCGTCTTGTTGAAATTCATTCTCGGGTAGATTGCATTTAGATTTATTTACGTTTTCCACAGCGTCCCAACATTTTTGAAATTTTATTCTAGTGTATCTTATAGGGAAAAGACCAGCTTTGTAGACCAAACTGGTAAACTTGCATGAATTTATTATAGTGAATTATATAGGTCGCTATGGAGGTGATGTTCCAGGTGACCGCTTTAGTTCTTATATGAAACTCGACAAATCAGAACAGCCCTTTCTTATTGTATGAAAAGCAATGCAAAACATGTTAAAGAAGCCTTGTTTGAAATCCTGGAAAGTGTCTGGGAATGCACCTTAAATTGTGCCATTTTAATTCTTCGGCACAAAGCCTATACGATCACATTGGGGACTTGTAATTTCGGCACAGAACTATTACCAAAACTCTGGTATACTTTAAAGCTGCGCTGTGTAACTTTTCTGGTGGAGTGTCCGCCATCAGCTTGTCTCCATGGAGATGTTATTGTTTTGTTTTGAATGTCCCAGTATGGCATTAAATACAGTATATCCATCTTGCATTTAGGGTTAGGTGTGAGGATCCCTCAGTCGTCCAGGTAGAATCCATGTTGGAGAAAATTCAGTTTGTCGACTGGACAAAAGTTAGTTTGGTTGAAGAGTGAAAGAAGACATTTTTGTTAAGAAAGAGAATCCTTCTCTAAACAGAAATGGAGGCCTCAGACACCATCTATCACCTATTTACAAATCCATCCTCAAACCTAAATCAGAACAAACAAGAGAACAACAGGTGTAGCCAGGTCAGGTCCAGAGGTGTGGAAGCTCCATTATGGCCATGAATTGTTCTGCTAATTAGACCCACACCCTGTACAGGTCAATAGGCCTAACTAACTAATAGAAACTGTAAACAAGTAGGTGTGTTAGTTTCAGTTAGTTAGCTTCTCCCTGCAGATATAAGGAAGTGTCCACCAGCGTCTGACCAGAACTGAAGAAGCAGCTTGGATGAGCTGCGAAACATCTTCAACCAAACTAACTTTGTCCACTCGACAAACTGAATTTTCTCCTACATTTAGGGTTAGGGTTTTTGATTGACTTAAAAACGTGTATTCTGACAGTGAGTATAATGCCACACTGCGGAACATTCCAGGCAGTATCTCCATAGAGAGAAGCAGGTGACGGACCCTCCACCAGAAAAGTTACACAGTGCATCTTTAAATATATTTCTAAGAATACATTCCACTCGGATCAGCAGCACATGAATTCTCGATGTCACTTTTACCGCTTGATTTCTGAATGCGTATTTTTCCTGAAAGATTGGAAGAGTTGAATGTTGTTGGTATCAGTTCTTTTCAATATAATATAAATATAAATGGTATAATCAGTGTAATGTTATCATATGAATTTGCCTCTCTTTGCATTTGACTGGTAGCAAGCCGTTTCTTTGTACTGTATTTTGACACTGCGAAACTCTTCTAGATTCACTGCTGTTTGTACAATGAAATATTAGTGATTTTCATTTAGTGTAATCATTATTATTTGAATGGGAAAACAATTACTAGTTTTGGGGTGAGGTCAATTTTGTTTTTCTAAAAGCTTTGCCAGTAAGCAATAATAGAGTAATTTATCCTATAATTACCAATAGTCCCATTTGATTTGCTCATTTCAAAAGCGTGGATGCCATTATAAAGCACGCAACAGTTCCTATGTACCATGATAGGAAGTGTAATAGCCAATTAGAGAAGGAGTCAAGTGCTGAAAGTTGGGGTCATGTATTGCACTAAAATTAATTGCGAATGGAGTGAGCCAGCTAAACACAAGATATATTTATACCGGTTTGGTTTGTTCATCACACAATGTTAAAAAAAAAGCCCGGGTTCTTAATGTGCGGCGTTTGGTTTGGAAAATGTGTTGTTTATTTGTAAATGTTTGCAAGAAAAAAATCTACAAAAAAAATAAAGGTCACAATCACGTTTTGTTTTTAATTCATTTGTGGTTTGTTTCATATTACGCTATTTTTTGATATATTTTGTAATGTTTCTTCATCACACACATACCTGGAGTTGTGTTTTGTTTCATTCACACATTCAACACACAAGCTGCATATTCAGGCTGAGTTCTTCGCTCAAAAAGAAAATACTCTGTTCCACCTTGTGATGTCATGTGATCAGTGTTGGGGAGTAACAGATTACATGTCCCGGAGTTATGTAATCAGAGTATAGATTATGAGTAACTGTATTTGGTTACAGTTAATGTTTCAATGAGTGGTAATTGGATTACAGTTACTTGGTTGAAAAAAAAATGGATTACACAGTGGTAATTTCCTGTTTTCACATTTTGGGCTATTCCCTTTTTTTTTTTTTTTAAGATAATTCCACTCATTGCCGGACACTAAACCAGATCTAAAACCAGTTCTAAACCAGGTCTAAACCAGGTCTAAAACCAGTTCTAAACCTGGTCTAAACCAGGTCTAAAACCAGGTCTAAACCCAGGTCCAAATCAGGTCTAAACCCAGGTCCAAACTAGTTCTAAACCTGGTCTAAACCAGGTCTAAAACCAGGTCTAAACTAGGTCTAAACCAGGACTAAACCAGAACTAAAACCATGTCTAAACCAGGTCTAAACCAGGTCTAAACCAGGTCTAAACCAAGACTAAACCAGGACTAAACCAGGTCTAAAACAGAATTTAACAGGACTAAACCAGGCTGCGTGGACCGTGTCTCCTCCTCTTCTATCAATAATATTTTTAATATGGTTAAGTAAAGTCTGGGCTTTTCATTGTTTTTTAGCAGACAAAACATCTTATGTGAAGATTTCCTCATCTTTGCTTCTCTACAGCAAATCAAGTAATCCAAAGTATTCCGATTACATTACTTGCCTTAAGTAATTTAATGGATTACGTTACAAACTACATTTTGGGGTATGTAATCTGTAATCTTTAAGAGAATACATTTTAAAAGTAACCTTCCCAACACTGCATGTGGTATTGCGTGCCTAATTTTTGTCTATTTTTCTTTTTTGGACATCTTCAAAGTTTGGATTTGTTAAATGGTTAAGATTCCATATACGCGAAGCTAGAGCGAGGAGATGTGAAAACAGATGGAGAGTAATTTCATAAGGATAAGGAGATAAGGAGATAAGCAGCCATTTTGTGTTTTGACATTTAGATTTCACAATTTTGAGCGATCAAAATATCATTAAGCAGATTGTGCATAAACAAATTAGTGAACAGCAACAAAGCTACACCGTCCTATCATCCTAATTATTCCGTAATGAGTTCATAAGTGCTTTTTACACCATGGAGTTTTGTCATCACGGCAAAGCTTGCAACTTTACAGCTAGCATGCTAAGTGCACACTCCCTGATTTTCAGATAATAAAATGCTTTATTATTAGATGCAGACAGTACACAGTGGACTTATTTTGACCTCAAGAGCTGCTTAATATAAAAGATAAATGTTATGTCATGTTATAATGTTGTTACCTCTGCAAAAACATACCTGTTTTGTTTCCATGACGTATCGGGTAGGACAGGGTACTGCTGGTTGTAGCTGCCTCCAGTTGACGTAGTGGTCACTCACTGGAACTGAAGAAATCCCATGGGCTGAGAGAGGAATTTTCTCATAGAGCACCTACAACTTTGAAAAATGTTTTTTTTTTTTTTTTTAACCTATTTTTAGATCATAAACTTTTTCTCAGCTCAAAACCGTTATAATCGTTCGGTATAATTGTTATAATTGCAGCCGGAGCGATTATTATAACTCTGGCTCTGATTGGTCAAAGCGTTCACGTGATACACATAATGGAATCATGTACCATTGAGCTCGGCCCATTGACTTGAATGGGCAGCCATTTTGAAACTCCGGGGCTTGGCTCCTACCATGGATCTATTAACCCTTGTATTATGTTACGGGTCAATTTGACCCATTTCAGTTTTTGTTTTGACCAAAGTACTGTTTATCCATTTTTTTTCTTCCTACAATTTTGTGACTTTTTCTCATCTTGGGTCATGAACTCGTGTGTGAAATCTGGACTCTTTGATGTGTAGTACAATGTCTGTGCAGAGTTTTATACAAAGATGATGTTGTGGGTCATTTTGACCCAGACACTATAATGTGGGTAAATAGCTGTTCAGATCGAAAAATAAACATCTCTTTGATGATCTCTTTTTTTGATTTACTTTGTTTAGATTGTCTTGAGACCCAGGTGCAAGTAGAGGCAGAACTTTCTCGCCCTTGTCCTTGTCACTCACTGTCTCTGTTCTCATTTCATTTCTTGGCAAACACACCAAAAATGAGCTCCAGAAGTTCTACAGTTCTAGAAACTTTGGCACAGATATTGAACTGGGATGGTGATGCAGAGGAAGAGATTTCAGAGGCAGAGGATCTTTCAGAGAAGGAGGACAATGTTATTGATGATCCAGATTGTCAATTTTCCTCTGATGAGGAGTATTCAGAGGACGAGTCTGCCATTGTCTCTCCATCAGATGAAGACCAAGGAATGCAGCAATCATCATCCACAGAGGACACATAGGCATCTAAAGATGGTAGGATAAAATGGTCAACATCACCCCACCAAAGTCGAGGTAGACGGTCATCTTTCAATGTCATCAAAATGACTCCCGGTCCCACAAGATTTGCTGTCACATAAGTTGATGATATTCAGTCAGCATTTCAGCTCTTCATATCCCCACCAATAGAGAAGATAATACTGGATATGACCAATTTGGCAGGGAGGCGTGTATTTCAAGAGAAATGGAAGCCACTGGATCAGACTGACTTGCATGCTTACATTGGAATTCTGATATTAGCTGGAGTGTACAGGTCAAAAGGAGAAGCAACTGCAAGTCTGTGGAATGAAGAAAATGGAAGGCCAATCTTTCGAGCTGCAATGTCTCTGGAGACATTCCACATGATATCTCGTGTGATCCGATTTGACAATCGCGACACTGGAGCAGGTTGACGGGAAAGAGACAAATTAGCTGCGATCAGAGATGTATGGGATAAATGGGTGAACATTGTTGAACATTGAAAATGAAGCAAGTCCAATGACACACACAAAAAAAAAAAGTGTGAAGAGGGAACACTTTAAATTGTTCTTAAATAGTTCTGTTGAAATTAAAAAGTTATTGTTTGTCTCTTTTCTAAATGTTCATATAATCTAAAATAAAGATGTTATTGGTTTAACCTTTTTTTTTTTTTTACTCTTTTGCATGGATTTACAATGTACGGGTCAAAACGACCCGCAACATAATCAATGTAATTTTTTATCAACATAATACAAGGGTTAAAATAATACTGCTGCTACTCGCTTTTTTATCATCTCGGTTTGTTGTTACATGTGGGGATGCGTAACGCTGTTCCTCCGCCCACACAAACTGGGGAACAGCGGTCCAAACCCAGTCTCCTGATCCAGCGGGAACAGCTCTGGTTCAGGTCGGGCCCAGATGAGCTGGAGCGGGGACAGGTGTTAGGCGCCTCCACCTGAGAAGCGCTTTCCCCGGGGAAGAACCAAGAGCACAGAGGCCAGACCGCTCAAAACAAAATATAATGAACCAAACGAGATTCATGCCTCTGTCCGGATGTTTTGCACCACCTCAGTACCAGCCAAAGCTCCTCTAGTCCTCCTCTAGAGGACAGGAGCAGCCCGCCCGGACTTGTAGTCCACAGCGCATTCCCACTTTCGCCGCACGGATCCACTGGTTTTGCTCGCCCCCGTCTGGAAACAACACATGGAGGACGGAGCCTTTGGATCTGTCTGACCAACTCCCCGCTCGGAGGACGACACAAGACCAAGGAGGGGCTGCGCGCTACGGTGAGTGCTCCCGTGCTGTTGCTCGAACTCAGAGCTTCTGCTCCGGGCTGATGTGCAGTGAGTTGTGTACAAAGTTCACTACGCGCGGCTGTTTTATGACTTCATGATGATAACTTGGGATGAGGATGGCTCGTGGTGTTAATGGAGACATCGGTGCCTTTCACAATTACATATGCACCGGGGAACAGAGGTACAGGGACATAGACATGATACAAACTTTTTTCACCATATGTATAAAATATCCGCTTATTTTTAAGTGGAATAAATTTATTTGTGTTTAAAATCGGAATAAAGTACCAACCTAAATTTAATTTAGAATAATCATTAGGAATTAAGTGTTTAATTCCGCTTTAAAAAGACCATGTAATTTTTATGAAGCACTTCCTGTATTACCACATGACATCACAAGGTGGAACAGAGTGTATTCAGTTTGAGAGAAGAACTCAGCCCAAATATGCCTAAATATGGTGGGTTTGTGTGTTTAACATGTGTGAAAAAAAGACAATGTATAGTGTTGGGAATGCATCCAAATGAACTTCAAGTACCCTGAGCACGCATTTATCCCATACTGTCCAACAAAAGGACATACTTGAAGAAATATAGGTTTGCTACGATTACAGACACTATAATGCCAGTAAAATTCCTCCTCTCTTTTCTCAGTGTTCCCAGAGTTAGTTCCTGTACAATCATGGCACAGTTCCACTTGTGTCTCTGCAGGACTCCGACTCAGAAAGATGCCCGTATCATAGCAACCAAACAACTTCACCAAAATCCATTCGCCATTAAACTTCAATTTAAACTTGATTACGATGTTATTTTTGCATGATTCCAAAGGACAAAAGGTGATCGTAAGTGACATTATCTGGACATGGGTCAGTCTGAGGCACTGCTCTTTTCAGATTGTAATGAATAATGGGTTTGATTAGGCCCCCTGGAGTGACTGAAATGCCAACTCCGATTTTTTAAAGGTGTTGTGGGGTGTTAAATGCAAAAAAATATTAAGTTACACAAGACTACATCATCCAGTGTGATTGCAAAACGATTTAAATGCAAGGTTTCAACTGGCTGCCCCCACGAGCCAATCTAGACTTATTCTCTGGCAAAATGAAGGGTAATTGTGACATAACATATAAACAGACTTTTGTTACGTGTATTGTAAAA